AGTGACATAACTGCCTGCCTGGCAAGCACAAGGTCCTGGTATCCCTCCCCCTGCCCCCCCAAAAGATCCCCTCCTCAGCCAAGTATAATTGTGTGCTCCTGTAATCTCAGCACTCGGAGATTGAGGCAGGAGGACTGTAAGCACTAGCCCCCTGGGCAACTTAGAAACTTAAAACCTGCCTCAAAATACTTTAAAAAATGTTTAAAGATTAGGGGATGTAGCTGAGTATGAAGGTTCTGGGTTCAATCTTCAGTGTTATTTAAAAAAAAACTTTCTCCTTTTCTTCCTGTCTTCAGCTTTCAGAAGCATCATTGTTCTCTTCAGTTATAGCAGCAATAGGAACTTTACTGAATGCTGATGACTAGAACCAGACATCATCCTGCAGCTGGATACACATTATTCACTCACAGCAAACTATACAAATTAGGCATCTGTAACTCATTTACTCAGCCATTTTTTTCATTCAACAAACATCTTTCATTCAACACACATGTTACACTCAGTGCTTTGGTGTTTGAAATAAAGAATAAAACAGAAATCTCTGCTTAGGTTCTAATGTGCAGGAAAAACCAGCCATAGTGACAAGTAGAGCACACTGGAGAGTAACCAGTGCTATGAGGAGCACAAAGGAGAGAAGGCAGAGGGCTCCTTTGAAAATGTAGCCAAGGAAAGCCCTCCCTTCTGTGAGAAGATGCATTAGTCAGCTTTCTGACACTATCACACACAATGGAGGTTATTAATTTATAAAGAGAAAAGGTTTTTGTCTCACGGTTTTGGAGGCTGAACAAAAACAAAGAGTCTATATGTATGATGGAATAGTATATGACCTTTAAAAAGTATGAAATCCTGCCACAGGCTAAAACATGACTGAACCTTAAGGATACTGAGTTGAAGAAATAAGCGAGCAACAAAAGGGCAAATACTGTTATTTCTCTTACATGAGATACCTAAAATAGCCGAATAGACATAGAATAGGAGTTGCCAGGGGCTGGGGATTTAGCTCAGCGGCATAAGCACTTGCCTTGGAAGCAGGCGGTCATGAGTTCAATCCCCGGTACCGATAAAAAAAAAAAAAAAGAATAGGGGTTATGGGGCCTGGAGGGAGGAGACAAAAAGGAAGTTTTTTGTTGTTGTTGTTGTTGTTTTGGTTTTTTTTTTTTTTTTTGGTGGTACTGGGGATTGAACTCATGTCCTTGTGCTTGCCAGGCACACGCTTATGCCACTGAGCTAAATCCCCAGCCCAAAGAAGTTATTATTTAGTGAGTATAATTTCAGTTTCACAGGATGAAAATGTATGGAAATATGTTCACAGTACAGTAATATAAAAATATTAACATTACTCAATTGTGTACTTTGGATATTTCAGGGGGCTTTTGGTTTAGTTTTATTTTTTGAGACAGGGTCTCACTGTGTAATTCAGACTGGCCTTGAAATCACTATATAACCCAGAGTGGTCTCCAACTCTTAGCAAGCTTCCTGCCTCAGTCTCCATTACACACATGCACCACCATGCCTGGCTACTGAGTTTTTCTTGAAGCCATTTCTAGATTCACATGCAGTCGTAGGAAATAACACAGAAACCCTTTTACACTTTGCTCACCTTCCCCAGTGGTAACATTTTACAAAACCGTAAGGTAGTAGCACTAAGACATTGACACCCATGTAGCAGCCCATCTTACTTGGATATCCTCACACCCTTCCTCCTGCATGCATGCATGTGTGTGTTAATTTCCATGCACTTAATTACATGAGTAGGTTCATGCGTAAGATGGGGATCAGTTCCTATACCCAAGGATTCATCACCCTCCTTTGCACAGTCCCTGCCCTTTAGACTTCTCCTTTGGAAAAGAAGCCACTGGAATCATACAATATGTAACCTTTGGGGGTTGGCTTCTTTTTATCTCCCCCATAATTTTCCAGTCATTCATCCAAATTGTTGCATAGATGAATAGTTTGTTTCTTTGCTCTTTTTTTTTTAAACTTTTTATCGGTACTAGGGATCTAACTCACAACCACCTGCTTGCAAGGCAGGTGCTTATGCCCCTGAGCTAAAGCCCCTAATAGTTTGTTTCTTTTTGTTGTAGAGATAATGTTTAATAGTATCAACATACCACAATGTATTTAAGGGGTTGGTTTGATTTGAGACAGTTTCTTATCCAGTTGCCCAATTGGGCTCAAACATGTGATCCTATCTTGCAAAATCCCAAGTGCTAGGATTTCAGGCATGTCCCACTGTGCCTGGTTTAAGGGTCATTTTAAAATAATTTTTTAAAAAAGTATCATTCTGTTGCTTCCAGAGGATAATAGTAATTCACTTTATAGTTGTTAGATGGCTTAGTCTTTTTTTGTCCATAAAGTCAAATTGGTTAACTTTATTTACGTGTTCCATATCTTTCCTGATTTATTGTACATTGCTTCTGTCAATTATAGGAGGAAAAATGTTGAAATCGCCAATTATGATTTTGGGCTTATTCATTTGTTCTTTTAGTTCTGTTTATTTTTGCTTTATGTATTTTTGAAGCTAGGTTATTAGGAGCATAGCTATTTAAGATTTAGGATTGTTAGTGCTCAATGATAAAGGGACCCTTTGAACATTGTATAGTGATCCTCTATCTCTGGTAATATTTCTTGCCTTAAAGTTTAACTTGCTATGAAGATAGGCACTTCAGAGTTTATAAGTGTTTATATGATAATGTTTTTATATCTTATACTTTAAAAAATTTTTTGATGTGGTAAAATGCACGTAATTATAGATTTATTCTTTTCTTTTTAGTACTAGTGTTTAAAACCCAGGGCTTTTACACTGAGTTACATCCCCTGACCTTTTAAAATTTTTTTTTTGAGACAGAGTCTTATTGTATCATTGAGTTGCCCTGACTGGAGTTGCCATGTCTTAGTCTTCTACAGTGCTAAATTACAGGTACATGCCACCACACCTGGCTTCTTAAGATTTTTTTTTGAGACAGGGTCTTATTATGTGGTTCAGCCTGGCTTGGAACTTAATGTAGCCTAGGCTGATTTTGAACATGTGATTCTCTTGCCTCAGCCTTCAGAAGCTGGGATTATAGGTGTGTGCCAACACACCCAGTTTATTTTATACTGTTTTGGTTTTGTATTGTTGAGAGAGTATCTTACTATATAGTCCAGACTGACCTTAAACTTGTGGCAATCCTCCTGCCTCAACATCCCAAATACTGGGATCACAGACATGCACCAAGCTAGATAACTGTTTTAAAGTCTTTGTTTACTAGATCTGTCACAGAGTCTTTTTTATGGACAGTTTCTGTTGATTTATTTTCACCCTTTGGATGAGTCATACTTGAAAGTGTGCATGTCTTATTATTTTGTTGTTGAAAATTGGACATTTGAATTTAATAATGTGGTAGCTTTGGAAATTTGATTCCCAAGGGTTTTACTAGTTTTTTTTTAATTTAAATTTTATTTTATTTTTGGTACTGGGGATCCAACTCACAACCTCACACTTGCCAGGCAGGTGCTTGTGCCACTGAGCTATATCCCTGGCATTATTATTTTTTAAAAAATTGTTACAGGTCATCTCTGTGCCAAGAATGAGCCTGAGGTATAAACTTTAAAGACTTCAGCTCTTAGCCAGGCATGGTGGTATACATCTAAACCCCAGCACTTAGGAGGCTAAGGCAGGAGGGATCACTGCGAGTTCCAGATCAGTCTGGGCTACATAGTGAGACCCTGCCTGAAAGAACTACACCAAACCAGAGAAAACAAAACAAAAAACTCTAGGTCTTCCTGAGCCTGATCCTTCCCCTGGGTTTGTGAGATCACTTTGCAATTTCTACATCCATACTGTTGCTTCTAAAGATACTGTCACTAACATATGGTTCTCAATAGGGGAAAACATTCTAGACTGATTTCTTTTTGCAGTATGGAAACTGAACCCAGGAAGTGCTAAGCTACATTCCAGGATCTTTTTTTTTTAAATCCAGGATGTTATGTCTTGTGTTTAAAAGCCCCCATGAAACCTCATGCAGTCATAGGTGGGGCTTTTGCAGGCTGGGTCTAGAGTGTGGTGCTGGGATTGATTCACAGTGCAGTGCTAGGATCAAGGGCACTAGGATTAGGGATGTGAGGCTACCCTGAGTAGCCTGTGTAAGATAATAAAGACAGAAAGTGGTTATCCCTTGGTGCTTTGCTACCTTCTGCCTGCCATGAACTGTTTCTCCTCCAAATGCCTGTCTGCCATGCTGCTCTGTGACGCAGCCAGCCAATTGTGGGCTGAAACCTCCACAAACTGTGAGCTAAGATAAACCTTTCCTCCTTTATCTTTTGGGTGTTGGGTATTTTGTTTCAGCAATGATTAAAGCAACTAAGATTCAGGGTCTCACTATGTAGTCCAGACCTGCCTTCAACTCACAGATGACTCTCCTGCCTTAGCCTCCCAGATGCTGGCGTCATAGATGTGTGTGTGCATCATGCCAGGCTCACTGGCAAGTTTTCACAGCATCTGTTTCTTAATTGGTGAGCAGAACTGTCGTGAAGGTGAGCCAGCGAGAAGCACACAAGCGCTTTAGCACAGAGCCTGATGCCTGCCGGGTTCTCTACTGTGGGGAAAGCTCTGTCATCAAACACCTTCCCCAGCTCCATGCGCTTCCTGCCCTTCCTGCCACAGCCCATTTGCTGAAGCCTTGTCCTTCTGAGCTGCCAGATACTCTGGACTGTGACCTCAGGTTTACAGACCCCAGAGGTCATTGACCCTTGACCTCTTCAGATTCCGGTTTCCCGTTTTTTTTTCTTCCACTTGTATTTAGCGCGCAAGGAAGGTTTGCGCGTGTTCCTTGAATGAGTGAATGAGCGACAAGCCATTTCACCGTCTAGATCTGCCGAGCCCGTCTGGCCCGAGGGTGTGGTCATAGTCTTGACCCTTGAACCGGGGCCCTGTGGCGCTGCGACACCCGCGCCGTCCTGCCCTGGGCAGCTTCTGCTCACCGAAAGCCCCGCCCACATCCCTGGTTGGACGCCGAGGGCAACGCCCACCGGCTGGGCGGCCTTGGATTGGTGCGTCCGCCTCCCGGAGGCGGGGTCAGAGCTAGGCAAGGAGCAGCTATCTGGCAGGCCAGGAAACCCCTGCGGGCGGGCTGCGTGGACACAGGCGACGTGAACAACCGGGTAAGTGCGGCGGCGGCGGCAGGGGTTACCAGCAGGAACCGGGGATGCCGGGGACGATGGTGCGCTCCGGGCACTACACAGGCCCTTGTCCCCACGGGCTGCCATGGGCCAGAGTCATCAGTCTGCTCTTGTCCTCCAGACTCGGAGAACCGGGGCTCCCGGACAGCCAGGAACCGCCCAGTATGGCATCAGAGGTGAGTGTGGCCTGAGCCGACCTGGCTGTGTGCAGCCCCGGTGCGGGGCGGGAAGAGCCAAGGGGGGGACGTCATGGTTCCTGTGAGGGGCTGCCACAAATCCCCAGTAGGTGGGGACAGTAACAGCTGTGCACCTCCTGCTCTAAGCCACTGGGTCAGGAGGCCAATGCAATGAATCCTTAGGATGGGAGGCACGCCCCTGTCATCCCAGCAGGCCCAGGAAGCTGAGGCAAGAGGCTTGCAAGTTAGAGCCCAGCCTGGGCAATTTAGAGACTTAGTGAGACCCCCGTCTTTGAAAAATATAAAAGGCTGGGGACTTCGCTCAGTGCAGAGACCCTGGCCTCAATTCCCAATACTGGGGAAAATAAAATAACAAAAGGGGGGCCCCCCACTGTTTGGCTGATGCTCAAAAGGGAACCTGCAGCTGGGAAGCAGGAATATGGGCCCCAGCCCCTCTGTCCTTACTGGGGGACTTCCTCCCCTCTTGGTCCCTGTGAAGAAAAGAACCGGGTGGGGACAGTGCCTGCCCGCCAGCCTCTGGGTTGTGTGCGGGAGGCCTGGGGGCCCAGAGCAGGGCACTGGGCTTGGCTCCATCCTGGAATCGCCTCGCCTCCCCTGGGACCCAGCCCAGGAGGTGCTGCAGAAATGGTGGCCAAGGGTGACAATGCTGCTGGTGCTCTCTCCTAAGTCGCTGCACCTCTTGCCCAGCCCCTGCCAGCCCCTGCCCAGCCCCGTGTCCCTGTACACTCATCTCTAGAGCTCAGCCTGGGTCAGGCATTCCCTGGCAGAGCAGCAGCCACCCTGGGCTTCCTGTCCTCCCCCACCCCCACCCCCGTGGGTGGCACCGCCTCTGGCTGCCTCCTGGGGCCATTTTACAAGGCAGCCTGCAGGATGGGGCTTAGTCCCAAAGCACAGGGCCCCCCAAGTGTAGGCTGCATGACCTGAGCTTGTCCAGGCCATCCCGAGGGTTGGTGCTAATTGGTTGGGCGGAGGCCTGCTTATTAGGGAGCTGTTATTACTAACAAGGAGAGGAGGCCCAGAAGCTGCTCAGAGCCCCTTCCAGGCTCCTGATTTTGGCTCCCTGGCCGGGTCCCTCTGGCCAGGGGCTCTATAAGTGCTTTATTTTTCTGGTGTGGGGATTGAACCCAGGACTTTCGCACTGAGCTACATCCCCAGCCCTTTTTCATTTTTTGTTTTGAGACAGTATCTTGCCCAGGCTGGGTTCAGACCTGTGATCCTCCTGCCTCAGCCTCTTGGGATGGTTTGCTGAAGATCAGGTCTTGCTGGGTACCTGGGGGTGGAGCACACACACAAGGCCTATGGGACAGAGGCCACCTTGGATCAGAGTCCTTTGGCAGCAGGGCTGACAGGCACAGAGGAGTCACAGCCTGGTGGGGTGCCTGCAGTGTACCATGAGATGCAGGTGGCAGCCTTATTCTTCTCACTGGCACAGCATGGCTGGATTGAAACTGAGCTTTTGGCTAGATGCAGGGGCACATGCCTGTAATCCCAGCTGAGACAGGAGGATCGCTATGAGGCCAGCCTGAACTGCATAGAGAAACCTCATCTCTAAAAAACAAAAAGCAGAGCCAGGTGTGGTGGCTCACTCCTGTAATCCCAGCACTCAGGAGGCTGAGGTGGGAGGATTGTTTCGAGTTCGAGACCAGCCTAGGCTACAAAGCTACAAACTGAGCTCAAGGCCAGCCTGAACTGCATAGCGAGACCCCGTCTCAAAAAAGACAAAAAAAAAAAAAAAAAAAAAAAGCAAAGTGTTTGAGGTGACTTCTTCACTTGGTCAGAGACAAGAAAGATCCAAAAATTTCTGTTGTGGCCCCAGGGATGCCACTGTCACAGGGATGATATCAGAACCTCCAAATGAGACATAAGAGAAATATTGTGTCTCCCAACCTGTCAGATGTCAGGTGTCTGGTACCCTGAGTTCTCTAAAAGTTGAAGAATGAATTCTAGGAACAAGGGAGGATAAGAGCAGGATATATTTATTGAGCAATAGAAAACTCCTGCCCAAGGACTGGAAGGGACCTGAGTGGGTAGCTGGGGATCCCACCCTATAGGGAAATTTTATAGAGCAAAACCCACGTGGGAACAATGTGGGTTACAGCTGTGATTGACCAATAAGATCACACGTACAGTTGCGTAGGGTAATATCACCCAATGAGGAAGCACGCAGCCAGCAGACTCGGAAGATCAAAGCGCTTCTGGGGAGGAGAGGAATGCAGGGTGGTTGCCTATGCGGGTGGCTGATGCCATTTAGACCAGATGTTATCACTAACCTCACCCCCTGGGGAGTGTGTAGGCCTCTCCTTTTGTTGTTTTCATCTTTTGTCTTGACTCCCTCAGGGACCAGCCATGTCTGAGTTCTTAGAATATTCCTAATTTAGCCGTGTACAATGCCACCATCTCTCTACAGTCACACCCTGTGATGGCAAAGAAGCCTGACTTCTGTGCAGCCAGGGCTCCTACCCTCAGTGCCTCAGTTTCCTTATCTGTTCAGGAAAAATAAGCTCGTTCATATGTTTCCTGTGGACTTTTTCTCGCTGTAGTCCTGAGGATTGGACTCAGGGCCTGCTCCCTGAGCTATACCCTCACACTTTGTATCTTTTATTTTAAAACAGGGCCTTGCTAAGTCGCCAAGTTAAGTTCCAATTTTTGATCATCCTGCCTCAGCCTCCTGGAGAACTGGGATCACAGGCCTATGCTTCCTTGCCTGGTCCTTAAGGCCCTTTTTCGGGGGAGGGAGGATGGTTCATTCATTAACTCATTGTCTCTCCTGTCCAGAGCGGGAAGCTGTGGGGTGGCCGGTTTGTGGGTGCAGTGGACCCCATCATGGAGAGATTCAATGCGTCCATCGCCTATGACCGGCACCTGTGGGAGGTGGACGTGCAGGGGAGCAAGGCCTACAGCCGGGGCCTGGAGAAGGCGGGGCTCCTCACCAGCTCCGAGAGAGACCAGATCCTGCATGGCCTTGACCAGGTACTCTTTTTTTTTTCTTAAATTGTACTGGGGGTCAAACCTAGAGGTATTCACTGAATATCATCTAGGCCCTTTTAAAAATTTTTTGATAGTCTTTCTCTAAAGTGCCCTGGCAGTACTCATACCTGAGGCCCTCCTGCCTCAGCCTCCCTTGGTGCTGGCATTATAGACATTCACTACCGAGTCTGCCACTGTCTTCATCTTTTAAAGACTTGCATAATTTCCTGGCTTGAGGGAAAAGATGGCTGGGCCTGAGATATGGGATGGGGGGGGGCACTCAGTTTCCCCACCTCTCAGCAGTTGATGTCTCCACCTGACCCCCAGGCTGTTCCTACTACAGGTGGCAGAAGAGTGGGCCCAGGGCACCTTCAAGCTGCACCCTAATGATGAGGACATCCACACGGCCAACGAGCGGCGCCTGAAGGTGCAACGTCCCCACGTCCCCTCTGCCTGCCTGCCTCCTTCCCCTCTTACCGGGCCACTAGCTGTCATCCTCTTCCCTTCGGCCTTGGGACCCTGCAGAGTTGGGGAGAGGCCAGTGCAGGGCTGGGACCTGGGTCTCCCCTCTTGCAGTGGCAGGCAGCCCTGAGCCTGGGCTTCTCTCACCCCAGGAGCTCATTGGGGATGTGGCTGGGAAGCTGCACACGGGGCGCAGCCGGAATGACCAGGTGGTGACTGACTTGCGGCTGTGGATGCGGCAGACCTGCACCTCACTCTCGGGCCTCCTGCGTGAGCTCATCAGGACCATGGTGGACCGGGCAGAGGCGTAAGAGAGGATGCAGGGGCGGCAGGGGCCGTCTGTCCCCAGGCAGGCAGGTCTAGGTGGCCAGGGTGGACAGAGCAGGAAACCCCCTCCTCCAAAGCCACCGGGTGGAGCGTGGAGCCACCAGTCCCCCTCCTCCTGGCGTCCCCATGCATGGGCTGCCTGTGGGGCTTTGGTTCTGTAGACCTGGCTGCTGAGCCCCTGTGTGGGATGGGGCTGACCCTGGTCTTTCCTGAGGCCCTCTGACCCCTTATGCTGGAATGCAAAGACATCAGGGCGGTCTCCCTGGGGTGATGAAAGTGTTCTACAGTTGACCATGGTGATAGCTGCAAACTGAGTATACCCTTCAAATGGATGAATTAAATACCCAACAGCTCCTGTGCTGTGGCCCTGCTGTTCATTCATTCATTCATTCATTCACGGGTACTAAGGATTGAACTGGGGCCTTCACACTGAGCTACATCCCCAGCCTTTGCCCCAACTTTTTTCCTAAATGTTGAGGCAGGATCTTGCTAAGTTGTCCAGGCTGGGCTCTAACTTGTGACCCTCCTACTTCAGCCTTCCAAGTGCTGGGACTACAGTGTACCTCACCACAGTTGGCTTTCATGTTGCTCCTGAAAATTAAAGGAGGCCGAGGTTTTTTTTTTTTTTTTTTTTTTTGCCTATAGTTCCAGAGGGTTCAGTCCATGGTTGACTGGCTCCAAACAGGAACAGTGTGAGGGACAGGTCTGGGTGAGGGCAGATGTATAACCAGTGGTGGCCTGGGAGCAGAGAAGGGAGGGGCGGAGCTGGGGACAAGAATGCAGCCTCCCAGGCCATGCCCCTAGCGACCACCTCCCAGGCCACGCCTCCTAACAGTACATTTAACTGTTAGCTCTTCCATGGATGAATCCCTTGATGAGTATGGTGCCTGGTGATCCAATCACACGAGACTGGGAACACATATCTAAACCATAACAGACCTATGTGTCCCTAGGAGACTACTTAGTCCCTCGTGTGGGCAGGGGTTTGCAGACCACCTGACTCTCCCTGGAGGTCCCAGGTCCTGGAGTCCCAGGCAGGTAGTGCCTGGCCTCAGCTCTCAGGCTCCTGGTCCTCTTGCCCCTGCAGGGAACGTGACGTTCTCTTTCCGGGGTACACACACCTGCAGAGGGCCCAGCCCATCCGCTGGAGCCACTGGATCCTGAGGTGAGCCAGGGGCACGTGGGGGACTGTGGGGAGACCAGCTGCCCCTGAGCCTGCTGCCCTGAGCCTGCAGCCCTGGCCTCCCACAGCCACGCCGTGGCACTGACCCGGGATTCGGAGAGGCTGCTGGAGGTGCAGAAGCGGATCAACGTCCTGCCACTGGGGAGGTGAGTGAGGCCAGAAGGGCCTGGTGGGGGCAGTTTGCTACATGGGCTGCGTGGTCCTTTGGAAGTGGCACAAGAATCCAGGGACAGAGGGGACAGGCAGCGGGTTAGTAGGAGGTACGGTGAATGTTTAAGTCTTTTTTCTCTCTCTCTCTCTCTTTTTTTTTTTTTTGGTCTTTTTCCTTTTTATCGGTACCGGGGATCAAACTCATGACTGCCTGCTTGCAAGGCAGGCGCTTATGCCATTGAGCTAAATCCCCAGCCCAAATGTTTAAGTCTTAAAAAGCCTATTACAGTAAAAGAGACACATTGCCACGAATCCTCTCATGATCCGCTCTCCCCTCCTCCAAACCCATCATCCCTGATGCTTTCTGGAGCAGTTCCAGAGTCTTCTTTCCCCAGGGTCTTTACTTGCTCTGTTGTGGTTGCCTCAAGGTCTTGAACTGATTCCAAACATTTCCCTCGCATGGTCATTTTGACTTTGGGGAAGAGTCAGAAGTCACACAGTGCCAGGCCCAGTGAATAAGGTGGATGAGGACACCGAGTTGTGTTTTACAAGCCTGCCTTTCTGTTGGGTGGTGCTCCACAGCAGCACTCACTGTATTTTTTGTCACTGGTGAAGACATTCAAAAGAGAGCTTCCAGAACTGCTTCAGAAAGTGACATGAATGATAGGAAGAGTTTGAAGCCAGCAGGAGGCCCCTGAGGGAACTCATCGCACTGTCTTTTACCATAATTTTTTTCATGTAAACACACACTATATATTTTCAGCTGCACCTGGTAAGCCAGGAGGAGGGCTTCCAGCTGCCTCTCAGGTGGGGACAACCAAGCTGGTCAGGTGTCCAAGCAGGGCAGCTACCTACAACCTGCCGTTCCCTGGCCTGGGGACAAATGTTGTGGTGTTCCAGGTGGCCAGGCCAGGGAAAAGCCAAGCCCCAGGGTGCACTGTGACCACCAAGACTTGGTTCTGCATGTGCATGTGTGCACACCTGTGTGTGTGCACATACATGTACCCCTGCCAGGAGGCCTGGTCCCTCTGACCTCTGTCTCCTCTGACCCTGCAGCGGGGCTATTGCAGGCAACCCTCTGGGTGTGGACCGGGAGCTGCTGCGAGCAGGTGAGATGTACTGCCCTCTCCGCTGTCAGTCCCACGCCTGTCCTGTCCTGAGACACACAGCAGGCTCTGTCCTTCTCACCTGAGGCTGCTGAGGCCAGGGCTGCTCCTGGCATGGAGGCTGGCATGGGGAAGCTCAGGGTCCTTGCCCTGTCCCGTGACATGTGCTGTGAGCCTGTGCCCACCTCCACCCCTACTCCTTCCTGGGAGATGGGTAAGGTATCCTGGGCCGTTTTGGGGTTGTCCCACGCTCCACCCTCCAGCCCAGTCCCGTGTCTCCTGCACCCCCAGAACTGAACTTCGGGGCCATCACACTCAACAGCATGGATGCCACCAGCGAGCGAGACTTTGTGGGTAAGTCATGGATGCCAGCTGGCTCCTCTCTCGGACCCCCCGGAGCCTCTCCAGGCTGGGCGGGGACAGAGGCATCTGGTGGCCCACAAGAGCGCCTGCTGCCCCCTCGCCCCGCTCAGTGGAGTTCCTGTTCTGGGCTTCCCTGTGTGCGACCCACCTCAGCAGAATGGCTGAGGACCTCATCCTCTACGGCACCAAGGAGTTCGGCTTCGTGCAGCTCTCAGATGCCTACAGGTGCGGCTTGCTGGCCTCTGCCCCATCTGTGTCCCCAGCCTGCTCCGGCACCACCTCACACCTCACCCCCAGCCTCTGTGTCCCCAGCACCGGGAGCAGCCTGATGCCGCAGAAGAAGAACCCGGACAGCCTGGAGCTGATCCGCAGCAAGGCTGGCCGCATGTTCGGGCGGGTGAGCACCAGGAAGGGCGGCTGGGCCTGTGGGCTGTGCTCTGTGCGGGCACCAGAGCCTGAACTACCCCTGCCCACAGTGTGCCGGGCTCCTGATGACCCTCAAAGGACTTCCGAGCACCTACAACAAGGACCTGCAGGTGCGGGGCTGGGGGTGGGGACTCCCAGAGTGGCGATGTCCTTCCTGTCCTGTGCACCCCGCCATCCCTAACCTCAAGCAGGGGCTCTGTGGGGACGGGCCCACTGGGCCTCACCCCTGCGTGCACCCCCCAGGAGGACAAGGAAGCTGTGTTCGAAGTGTCCGATACCATGAGTGCCGTTCTGCAGGTGGCCGCGGGTGTCATCTCCACGCTGCAGGCAAGCCCCGCCCCTCCCCATCCCAATGCTGTGTCCCTGCAGGGGCTGTGACTGGGATCCCTGAAGGAGGCTGCTGGGGCTGGGGGCCCTGGTCCTGCTCCCTACGAGCTGGGAAGGGTCAGTGGATTAGGTCCTATCCAGAGCACATGCTTTTCTTTTCTCTTAATTTGTTCGCTCCCTTCCCTTCCCTTTTCTTCCCTTCCCCTCCTTTCCCCTCCCCTCCTCCCCTCCCCTCCCTTCCCTTCTCTTCCCTTCCCTTTTCTTTCCTTTCCTTCCTGCCCCTTTTCCCCTCTCTCTCCTGAAGGTTGAATTCGGGGCCTTTACACTGAGCTGCATCTCCAACCCTTGTAATTTTTGATTTTGAGACCAGGACTCACTAAGTTGCTAAAGTGCCCAGGCTGGGTTCCAACTTGTGACCTTCCTGCCTCAGCCTCCCAGAATGCAGTGGTTACTGTGTGTACTATACCTGGCCCCGCAGTTTCAGCACTAATCCTTTCTTCCTGCTTCAGCACCGCGCCCCCCCAACCCCATAACACTGAGGCAGATTCCCACATCTCCATTTCACCGGAACACTTTGGGGTGTCTCCCCAGCACTGGTTCTCAAGGTGTGGTCCCCCAGTGGAGCAGCACCAGCCTCCTCTCAGAATCTGATAGAAATGCAAGTGCATAAGCCTCACTGCAGACACAGTGGGGCACAGCATGGTGTTTGTTTTTGAGACAGGGTCTCACTGTGCAGCTCTAAGTGGCCTTGAACTCACTGTGTAACCCAGGCTGGCCTCCAACTCGCAGGGAGCCTCCTGCCTCAGCCTCCTGAGTGCTGGGATTACAGGCATGGGCCCCCATGCTGGCTCAAGGAGAAAGGCTGTTCTGGGTACAGTAACATCCTGGCAAGGCAGGGCCTCAGATAAGAGCAGGCCAGGGGACCAGACCTGTCGGGGCTCACCACTACCCCGGGTCCCCAGATTCACCGGGAGAACATGGCGCAGGCGCTCAGTCCTGACATGCTGGCCACCGACCTCGCCTACTACTTGGTCCGCAAAGGGGTGAGTGGGGTGGGAGTGGGGGTGCGGGGCCGAAGGGGGACCCTGGCGGGCGGCAGAGATCAGGAAACAGAGCCCAGGCCCGGCGTCAGCGCCCCCTGCACCCCTGCGCCCAGATGCCGTTCCGCCAGGCGCACGAGGCCTCCGGGAAAGCCGTGTTCCTGGCCGAGACCCGCGGGGTGGCGCTCAGCCAGCTGTCGCTGGAGGAGCTGCAGAGCATCAGGTGCGACCTCCCACCCTCCCCACCGCACCCCACCCCACCCCACCCCCAGGCTGGCTGACCCTCGCCCCTGCCCCCTCCCGCCCGCCTCCTGTGTCCACAGCCCCCTGTTCTCCAGCGATGTGAGCCGCGTGTGGGACTACGCGCACAGCGTGGAGCAGTACAGCGCCCTGGGCGGCACGGCGCGCTCAAGCGTGGACTGGCAGATAGGCCAGCTGCGGGCCCTGCTGCGCGCCCAGCAGCCCCTGAACCCCGGGCCTGCGCCCCAGTGATGCTGCCCAAGATGAGCTCCTGCCCCTGCCTGGCCTGGGGCCTCGGGACAGGATGGGGAGCTGGGGCACCCCCACCAGAGTGGCCTTGGAACCCGGCTGGCCCCTGTGGCCTGCTTGGGCTCCCTTACACCCCGCCTCTCCTGCCACCCTCAGAGCAGGTCATCCGGCCGGCCGAGCCCTGTGGCAGGACTGCAGGGGTGACTGCGGGATGCTGGCTCCCATTAGCTGCCCACAGAGCCACAGAGAGGGGAAGCCAGGCATGGTGCGCATGCCTGTGACCCCAGCACTGTGGGAGGCTGAGGCAGGAGGATCCCAAGTTCAAGCCCAGCCTGGGCAGTTGAGTAACTTAGCAAGACTTTATCTCAAAATAAACATAAAAATATCTGGGGATGTAGCTCAGTGGCAGAGGGCCTGTGGGTTGGGTCTGTGGTACCATGTGTGCACATGCACACGCACACATACAGAAGATGCTGCCTCCTTCCCGCCAGGGAACAGTGTGCTCATCAACTCCCACTCCTGCCCTTGAGGTGAGCGCCACCTAGATGTGTTCAGAGGGCTTCACCCCAGCACAGCCACAGCAGGGCAGGTGACAGCCAGGCCAGGCAGTTCTAGAATGCCTGGTCTACACAATCAGCCAACATCCTGTAAGAAATATCTGACATGTATCAGGCATGATGGGGCAGCCTGTCATCCTAGCAGTGTGACAGGGTGAGGCAGGAAGATTGCCAGTTCAAGCCCCATCTGGCAGTCTAGTCAGTAAGCAAGACTCTGTCTCAAAAAATATATTAAAATGAGCTGGGGATGTGTAGCTCAGTGCAAAGGCCCTGGGTTCAACCCTCAGTGCAACAAACAAAACAAAACAAAAGTACTCTTATATTTATCTTATTGAAGCCTATTTCCTGTCTCCACTAAGTCTGCAAAGTTTATATTTGTAATCCCATGGAAACATTATTGGAATTCCAGTGAACTAATTCTAACCTACCAGCTCCAGTGCACCCCACTGTGAGAATAAAGACACTAAGACATATTCACAGTTAAGGGCAGGCAAGGGGTCCTGAGTCCAGCCCAGGTGAGAATGGGGGACAAAGGCCTCGACCTAGATTTTATTAACTCGCATAGAAGGGAGTGGCTGGAGGGCAGGTGTCGGTGAGAATGGCAGGAGATATGTGAGTGCTGTGAGCTGAACTGGCCGGGAGGCCAGAAAGCACCGATGCGATGTGCCGAGAGAAGGGAACGCAAAAGACCAACCTGCAGAGCCCAGCCAAGGGGGCTTTGACACTTAGGGCTGGTGCTTTGGTTCTGATGTGCAAACTTTTCTGCCCTGGGAAGTCACAGCCTCATGTGACTGGAACCCAGTTGAGGGTCCTAGAGCAACGGCTCTGCCACCCCGCTGGGCTCAGCCATTTAGTGGGAGACACTGAGCGGGCAAAGGGCAGACAGGACTGTGGCTTGGCTGCAAAGACTGCGTGTCAGCACCGAAGCTGGCCCTGTTGACATTGCTTAGCGCCAATGGAAGGGAAAAGGAAATGGCTTGGCCAGCTCCATATCTACCTTGGAGACGGCTAACGTGAAGGTGATTGTTTTGTATTCAAGGAGCGCCGTCCGCACGGTCTTCTACATGTATTTTACTAACAACAAAGAAAAATGAGCTAAACTGAAAAAAAAACGAGTCATACCGCTGATTCTGGGAGCAAGGAGATGCTTCTTGTAAACAAAGGAACCAAAATCCCTGGCAGAGGGGAAGTGACCCCAAATTCCAGAGGGAACCAAAGCTGCAGATGGCAGACAGAATTTTACACAGTGGCTCCTGTCCAGATCCTTTCCAGGGAGCAACAAGTCAAAAATACACATTCTGGGGCAGCTGAGCCAGGCTGGGTGATGCACGCTTACAATCTCAGCACCTGGGAGGCTGAGGCAGGAGGATTATCACAGGTTGGAGGCCAGCCTCACAGCAAGACCCTGTCACAAACACCAAAAGAAAACCAGGTTCTAGCTAAACCAGGTGGGGCCTGGGCCACTCTAATAAAGTTCCTTGGGGGTCTCAGGTGAGTTCCTCCCCAGCCTCTAGGACCTCACCGCACAGAGCTAAGGCCAGCACCCCAGCTGGGTTTCGCCACTGGCCCAGAAGCCGAGTTCTAACAAAGCCCCCTGGGCCTCCTGCATGGCCTAGTCGGGAGCACTGAGCTAGCACAGAGCCCAAAATCCAGTGCGAGGAAGAGAGGGGTCTATGCCTATCAAACAAGATACTGCAGAGTGATCAGCCTAACCCAGAGGAGCCCGGGAGGGTGAGAGCAGAGTGGGTTTGAAGATTGCCTGGTGCCAAGCAAGACGGTGTCACTAGGGCCCTTCCAAGAGGGCAGCAGAGGTGTCCGCCAGGAGCTGGGACAGCGGGGCTGAGGCACTGCTGCTGGGGGCAAGGTCCTCTGTGTCCTCACAGGCCAGGCCCGGGTTCCCTCCCCAGCCCCGGGATTCTAATGTGGTTCTGTTCCAGGCCCCACGATTGTGGTTTTGTTCTATCACAGCAGTGACAGAACAGCACAAGGTCACTGAGCCCAGGCACCGACAGCGAGGTTAAAACTACAAGGCCAGGAAGGATAGAGCCAGGTGCATAAGCTCTGTCTGTCCTGACAGGCCCTGGGGCACTGGGACACACAAGAGGAGCTCCTCCAGAGCAGCTCACATGAGGCCAGGCGTGTGGTGGGAGGCAGATTCTAGGGGGCTCAGGAGGAGCCTGAGCCGAGCTGTCTGAAGCCTCTTTCCTGGTTAGCCTCCGAGGACTCGCTGTGTAGTACAGGCTGCCCTCAAACTCACTGGGTAGGCCAGGTTGGCCTAGAGCTTGCAGCGATCCTCCTGCCTCAGCCTCCCAAGTGCTGGGATTACAGGCATGTGCCACCTAGCTTCACTGCAGGGTAAGTGGATGCAGTTGCTGGAGCCATAAGTTTCTCCCGTCTCCAGAGTCCCTTGTATCATTTTAAGTCTTGAGGTTTAGATTCTAGCTGGGCATGGTGGCACACACTGCCATATGCTAAAAGCACAGATTTTTAGCATTCTGGGAAGCTGAGCAGGAGGATTACAAGTCTGAGCTCAGCCTCAGCAACTTGTCAAGATCCTGCCTCAAAGTAAATATTTTATTTTACTTTATTTTATTTATTTATTTATTATTTATTTTGAGATAGGGTCTCGCTATGCAGTTCAGGCTGGCCTTGAGCTCACTTTGTAGTCCAGCCTGGTCTCGAACTTGCAACGATCCTTCCCACCTCAACCTCCAAAGTGCTGTGATTACAGGCGTGAGCCCCCACGGCTGGCTCTATTTTTGTCTTTTTGAGAAAGGGTTAAACTGTATGGTTCAGACTGGCCCTGAATTCACTTTGCAGCCCAGGTTGGTCTCAAACTCACACCCATCCTCCTGCTTCAGCCTCCTGAGTGCTAGGATTACAGGCATATGCCACTATGCCTGGTGACAAAGTAAATAGTCTAAAAAGAGCTGGGGATATGGCTCAGTGCAGAAGCCCTGGGTTCAATCCCCAGTACTGAAAAAAAAAAAAAAAAAAAAAAGATTCTAAGGTAGAATGGATTCTGTGGAAACATACAAACATGATTTTAACATGAATTTCCGGGGATCGCAATTCATCTACCCCAGCCTGCTTGCCTGCTGCTGAGATCCACACGCAGCTTACGTGAGAAACACATCAGCCCCACCCCAGGCGCCTCCCAAAGTCCCAGAGCATTAATACATCAACCAAAGCTCAAGTCTCACCCACATCTGCTCGGGCGCCAAGCCTGGGTCACCTGCGTCACGCACACAGTCAGTGCAGACAAGGCCTGGGTGCCTGCACGGCTTCTTCCTGGGAATCCAGACAGTTTGGATGGTGGCAAGGACAAAGCGAGATCATACACAGAAACCCAAGAGCAAGGCAGTTGCATGCAAAACAATGCTGGGCAGACATGGGCTGATGTCACAGGCCATTTAGAAAGCAGGAAAACGTGCCAGGCATGGTGGTGCACACCTGTGGTCCCAGAGCTCAGGAGGCTGAAGCAGGGAGGGTCACCATGACTTCAAGCTTAGCCTGGGCTACACAGCGAGTTCAAGGCCAGCCTAGACTATGTAGTGAGATCCTATGTCTCAGAAAAACCAAATAATAACAATAAATGTGTCTAGACTAAGAATTCTCCAATCATGAGGTCAGGATTTCTTGTTTTTGTGATACTGGGAACTGATTCAGAGCCTCTGCACAGAGCTACATCCCCAGCCCAGTTTTTGAGACAAGATCTTGCTAAATTGCTAGGGTCCCCCGGATGGGCTGGAACTTGCAATCCTCCTGCCTTAGCCTCCCAGCATGTACACCATCACACCGGGCAGAAGTCCTGATTTTTGTTTGCTTGTTTTTACCTCGATTTATGTTTCTTCTTGCACTTGCAAGCTTCTTTTCTATGAGTATGTGTTTGCAGTACTTGCTAACGACAGTCGTGGCAGGGACTTGGGGGACAGACATTGATCCCCCTGTTCTCTGCGCCCTCCTGCCTCCCCCTGGAACAGCGCTGGCTCCATTTCCATCTTTTATTTTGCTCTCCGTTTGGATTTTGAGTTTCTCACACAGGAACCAGTATAGAGCAAGCCTGTGGGGGTGAGGGCTGCTCCGCCGGGTTTGTGCTGAGTTTTAGTCACCCCGGGGGGACAAAAGCTGTCACCCAAATGAAGCCCACCTCTGTGAGGTCAGGGCAGTGGCTGTGGCTCCTGCAGCCAGTGTCCTTCTAAGACAAAGATGGACACTGCACTTGCGCTGACCACTATGACCAGTTCTGTGCTTACTTCAGAAGGGACAGCCCCAAGCATCCCCAAGGTGGCCCATCCATCGAGGTGAGCTTGGTTGTTGACTCCTGTGAATTAGATCATGATTTCGTCTCCTTTTCTCTCATAACAAGAACAAAGCTGTGGCTGAAATCTGAATGCAAATGCCAGCTGTGGCCACACCCACCTGTAGTCCCAGCTACAGAACTCTGGAGGCTGAGACAGGAGGATCACTGAGCCCAGGAATTTGTAATCAACCCCCAGGGGACATAGTGAAATCCTGTCACTTTGTAACCCAGGATGGCCTTGAACTCTCAGAAATCCTCCTGCCTCAGCCTCCCGAGTGCTGAGATTACAGGCATGCATCACCAAACCAGCCTACTTTGTTTTTTGTTTTGAGACAAGGTCTCTCTATGTAGTTCAGGTTGGCCTTGAACTTATAGCCCTGGCTGGTCTTGAACTCACAGTGATCTTTCTGCCTCAGCCTCCTGAGTGCAGGGATCACAGGCCTGAGTCACCACTCCCTGTCCAAACCCCTCTTTTGTTTACTTTTTTTTGTTATATTCAACCCACTAACTTTTTCTTTCTTATTTTC